CCCCAGAGTGTCCCCACACCAAATCCAACAAGCTAACCAAATGTCAAATACATTCATAAATTCATAAACAACTTTAAAGCAAGGTGTACATGGAAGGGCTTTGCACAGTGCAAAAGCAAAAAAATCAGTCTAACTATTAGGGTTAAAAACAGAGGTTTTAGTTGCGCAACTTTTGCAAAATATATGGTAGCTATACTGCCTCATCAGGGCCCATCTGATCGGGGTAAATGTACAGGTCACATATAGTGGCAGGATGGAGATGAATGGGTTAATGTGCAGATGTGCAGGATAAGGGAGATGGAGGGTTAATACACAGGTCACAATACAGAGGAAGGCTGGAATTCGGTAGTTTAGGAGAGTAGGGGCCGTGCTGACCCATTTACAATGTACAATGACTTCTCTCCTTCACCTATAGTAAGAGAAAGGAGAGTGATCTTCAGTGTAAAGAGCAACAATGATTAGTCATTACACGGATTCCATAGTACTGAGCCACTCAGAACAGCTCAGTACTAAGCCATTATAAGACAAAGGTATTAGCGGGCACAGCAGGCCCCAATTACCATCTGAAGATGTCATTCCAGCCTCTTTTAACTATACAGAGGTGGGGGATAATTAGAGGAAGATTCAATTTTCATTCAAAAAATAATATAGCATATAATATTGCTAAACAAATCATTTTTTAATTCATTATAATAAAAGTTATCTTTTCAGTTCTATCTGTTTTTTTCTAAAACTGTCTGCTGGTGAATGGAAAGCCTCAAGAAGAATGTCACTTCAGACTTCAGTCCCACATGAAAATCTTTATTGACTAGAAGTTAAAGTACAGCCTGCTCAGGCTTCTCCCTCTGACTGGTTTCACTCTGCAATAGGCTCAGATCTAACATTATGTTCCCAGCTAATGCTGGGATATTTTTTTTTTTTGTACAAGAGCAGTTTCAAGAAAGCTGAAAGGCACTGCCTTGGCCCTCAGGAGAACTGTAAAACCCATTTCACCCTTAAAGAGTATCTAAACCCAAAAACAAATATTCTATATATTGCAATTTGTCAGTCATTGGATGTGGTGGCTGCATTCATTTTCTTTTTTAGTTTTTTTCCCCTTTATTTTTAACTGGTAATATTGCAAATAACACACTTCCTTTCCTTGGGTGGCTATACTCACTCACTCCACTCCACTGTATGGATGGAGCCATGGCCACCCAGCCTGGACTTCAAATATCCTCAAACATTCCTCTTTTCATTTCCATTACATTGAGGACTATGGAATACGTACATTACAGAAGTTGGATAAGAATGTTACCTGTATGAATGATGGGAGCCATTTTTGTCACTAGGCACCACTCCTGATTTGGACTCTAAATTCTAATTTTGTCTTCCTCATTCACTTGCTTTAGCTAACTGGTGAAAGTTTACAGAAATGTCCCAATTTTTATTGTGATTTTGTAGAACTGAAAACTCTCAATGGTCCAAGTGTTGGAACTCATAAAGAGTAAAGTAGGAGTGCAAGACACAGGGATGACTTGAGGTGGCACACAGCTTCCTTCTATACCTGCAGTTGTATGCAACTGACATGTATTTGTTGTATTTGTTGTATATTGGAAGCTGCTTGAAGAAATCCTCTTTGCTGGGGAATTTCCTATCGTTTGGAGCACTCGAACTACTAAGTCAAACAAACTGCAGTGTATTAGCTGTGCGGATGCTGATATGTGGCCCATTCCCGACAAAATCTGAGTTATGATAAAACAAGCACATATATACCCATGGGGAAGTGCACAATGGACTGATGTTTACCGGAAAAAAAATTATATCAAGCATGAAGATGCTGCAGGGCACGACAGACTGGAACTCAGAAACACACTCAGACATCCTCCAAACAGCTCATGGAATATTAAACACCACATTTCACAATTATAGGCTGTTGTCAAACTCACCTTCACATCCCGGAAGATAAAAACAATTAATTCTATGTGCGCCTACATCTATTTTTTAAAATGTTATTTGAAATGTATGGAGTTATATATAGATCATCACAATATACAAATGGTTACTTTAGGTTTCCTAGCATTCCCTGCTTCTCTAAGGCTTTGCACGTTGAACAGTTGGCCTTTACAGGCAATTTAGGTTGATTGCGGCAGTTGACGCAATCAAAAGGAGTAGAGAATTTTCACTTTGGAAAATGTTCATGGAGTACATTGACTAGGTTATAGCTGTGTTCACTTCAATTATCCAATCATAGGCAGCAAAGATCAGTGGTTTTTTTTTTTTTTTTCATTTTTCTTGCACATGATTGGGTGTTTAGACTGAGTAAACATAGTGAATGATTTATAATACAATTTGGTTAATAATAATAATAAAAAATAATCATTTTAGAAGGCATAGAAGAGCATAGGAAATTCTTATACTCCTGTGTGAACAGCATTCATCCAGCCTATGGCTGGTCAGCCAATTTACAAATCCTCCTTATAGTATTACCTTATTCACTAAACTCCATCAACATTTTGCAATGGGGAAAAACTCTCTACTCCTTTTTGTGCATTTGTCTCGCGGTTAGCAGTGTACCTGCCCATTTGTTGTGTCTACAAGATAGATAATGTAGGTTTCTACAGCTTTATTTCTTTTTTTCCCCTCTCTCTAGCCATTGAGGACGTGTGGCATTTTAAAAATGACTTTTGCTACTGGATAAAATTGCAACATGTAGCACAGGATCATATATTATCGATTAGACTGTACATTTTCTATCTATGCTTCACAAGTTTTTTCATCCAAGAATGTTTAACAGGATCAGTATGGCTATGAGGGCAAAAACATCCATTTTTAATACAATCGTGTCTGTAGATATAGTGCAGCAAAATGCCTGAGTAGCATTTTGTTATTATGAAGTTGTTTACTGATGTGATACGCAAGGAATCAATACTAAATTGTTGCTTCTCGTCGTGTGTCTGATCATATGCAGTTCATATCAAAGAATAATTATTATAAGGCATTGCACCAAGTTTACAAATACACTTGTAGATGACTTTCACATTTTTACAGGAAATAGCAACAGCAAATAGTTTCATGATTTCCTGTTTACACTCCATCTATTATGAGCTGGCTGTGAGCTATACTGGCAGTAGTTAGAGTTTACAGAAGAGCAAAAATACTTAGTAAGTATGTCAGAGGCAAAGTAACAGGGGCAGTGGGAGGAGGAACAGGAGTAAGAGCAGCAAGAGCAATGTGAAGAGGTACATAAAAGGCAGTGGAGGAAAGAACAGCAGGGGCAGTAAGAGGAGGTGCAGCAGGGGCAGTGGCAGTAGGAGCTGAAGGTGGAAAAAGTGGAGGCAGTGTGAGGATGAGGAGAAGGGACAGTGTGAGTAAGAGTAGCCAGAGGTAGAAGTGGGGGCAGTGTGAGGATGAGTAGAAGGGGCAGTGGGAGTAAGAGTAGCCAGAGGTAGAAGTGGGGGCAGTGTGAGGATGAGGAGAAGGGGCGGTGGGAGTAAGAGCAGTAGGAAGATATGCAGCATGAGCAGGAGCACAGTAGTGAAAAAGATGTCTTGTTTTCTTTTGTTTCCCTCTATCTAAGCACTAAGGAAATGTGGCATTTTGAAAAGACTTTTGCTACAGGATAAATGGCATTATGAAGCACAGGATCATATATTAACAACTAGACTGTACATTTTCTATCTAGGAGAAAGAGGAAGGACAGAAATAGGGGTTGTAGCACAGAGACAGTGGGAGGAGGAGTCACAGGGGCAGCCAAAAGAGGGGCACCAAAGGAAGCTGGAGGAGCATATCAGGGGGAGACCGTAAGAGGAAATGTAGAAGACACAGGAGAAGCAGCAGAGGAAGGAGAACATGGGCTGTAGGAGAAGAAGTAGCAGTGAGAGCAGTACAGTAGCAGAATTGGGAGAAGGAGTAAGGACAGGAGGAGCAAAAGAGGGAAAAGCAGTAGGGACAGGAGGAGCAAAAGAGGAAAAAGCAGTAGGGCCAGGAGGGGCAAAAGAGGGAGAAGCCATAGGGACAGGAGTATCAGAAGAGGGAGGAGCAGTAAGGACAGGAGGTGCAAAAGAGGGAGAAGCAGTAAGGAAAAGAAAAGCAAAAGAGTGAGAAGCAGTAAGGACAGGAGGCACAAACGAGGGAGGAGCAGTAACAACAGGAGGAGCAAAAGAAGAAGCAGTAGGGCAAGGAGTAGCAAAAGAGGGAGAAACTGTAGGGCCAGGAGGAGCAAAAGAGGGAGAAGCAGTATGGCCCGGAGGCGCAAAAGAGGGAGAAGCAGTAGGGATAGAAGAAGCAACAAAGGGAGAGGCAGTAGGGACAGGAGGAGCAAAGAAGGAGAAGCAGAAGGGACAGGAGGAGCAAAAGAAGGAGGAGCAGTAGGGACAGGAGGAGCAGAAGAGGGAGGAGCAGTAGGGACAGGAGGAGCAAAAGAGGGAGGAGTAGTAAGGACAGGAGGAGCACAAGAGGGAGAAGCAGTGCGGCAGCAGATGGAGGAGCAGGAGGAGGAGAAATAGGAAAAGAAACATATAATTACCATTTTAAAAAAAACTCAGCAGTCTGAAAATGACTTTTCTTAAAATATTTATTGATTTAAAAAAAAAAAAAGGTTCAAATATTTTGTGTATACAAAGTTGATGAGAAAAATCCCATGCATACTGTAGGTATACAATAAAAAAACAAAAACTTTACATTTTAATGGCTTTTCAAAATAACTCAGTAACTTTGATGAACAAGTTACGTGTTGTAAGTGTGTCAGAGCAAGTACAGAGTGACAGCTCTCTCTACGTCTTTGTGCTAATGACAGTTTAACATAGTCACACTTTCACAACAAGATTAATCATCATTTCATCACTCAGACAATGACATAGTAACATCAATAGAGCATTTTACCTGTCAAGAAATACAGTTTACATGAGTGTTACCGTTAATGTGCTTTACAAAAATAAACACAAAATAATAAAAATAAAGGGATTAACTTTTACAAAAAAAAGTTAATGCTCTTACAGGCTTATAATGTCACTTTATTTTGACTTTATACATTGTGCATCATAAGAGTAATTTGCATAATTAAAGCAAATAAATACTAAACTTACATCATAATGGCAAATAGAGAGACACTGACCATGATGGTATAAAAATAGCTTCAATATGAAACATTATTTCTTAAAGAATTTCATTTCTGTTTATTTTCAGAGCTACCCTTTATAAACTAGGCAGGTTAGGTCAGCAGAAATGCACTGTCCGTTTGACATTTTCCCCATCTGATAAATGATAAAGAAAATACTTCCTTTTGTCTGCAATGTACAGTGTTGTATAGCGGCCATTCTATCTCATTTTTCTTAGTCGCAGTCTATTTTCTTTGTCCCTCTTTTTTAGGGAATTTATAAACTGGTTGAAAACATGCTCCTGGTCTTTTTTTTTCGGAACCACACGGAAGCGCTGGTCTCTCCCATATTTCTCCGCAAATTCCGTAAAGGTGGTTCTAAAAAGAAGAACAAATGGATAAATTATTCACAGAAAGCCCAAATCAGGAGGTTGACTGGGAAAGGCTGCAGTGTGAGGAGTAGATTTACTGAAAACAAATCGGCTTGGTAAACGAGGGGAGGCTCCGCTGACTTCCATCATACAATCATGTGCAAGAAAAATTCCTTTTTTTTTTTATTTTTCTTGCACGTGATTGTATTTTATTTAGAAAGTGAAACTTCACCACAATCATCAAGATAAGGGTACATTCCCTTGCAGAATGCAAATTCCCTTACAGAGGTAATAGCCTATTTGCCTTTAGTGTTTGCCTTTGTGTGCTGGTGGTCACCTTAAATAGGTGGCTACTGGATAGATAGATAGATAGATAGATAGATAGATAGATAGATAGATAGATAGATAGATAGATAGATAGATAGATAGAGATCGAGATAGATAGATAGATAGATAGATAGATAGATAGATAGATAGATAGATAGATACTGTATAGATAGATAGATAGATAGATAGATAGATAGATAGAAATATAGATTAGATAGATAGATAGATAGATAGATAGATAGATAGATAGATAGATAGATAGATACTGGATAGATATATAGATAGATAGATAGATAGATAGATAGATAGATAGATAGATAGATAGACACCCGAATATATGGGTGCCGCCATCTTGGTATATACATGCGCAGAACACGCTTGCGGCCGATGTGTCAGCCACCCGTTCTGCGAATAACGTCACCCATGACATGACATCATGTGACATTATGTACCTTGCCTCCAAGATGGCGGCAGGCATGAGCAGAACGCGCCGGCGCCTATTATGGCCGTTGTGCATTCTGATAACACATTTTTTATATGCCTGAAAATCGTTTTAGTATGAATTTCGTTGATTTGTAGGTTTGTCCGAATCCGAATGCACATCTCTACTGTAGATATAGATAGGTAGATAGATAGATAGATAGATAGATAGATAGATAGATAGATAGATAGATAGAGTAGATAGATAGATAGATAGAGTAGACAGATAGATAGATAGATAGATAGATAGATAGATAGATAGATAGATAGATAGATAGATAGATAGATAGATAGATAGATAGACACTTTTTCTCCAAGTTATCATTTAATAAACTACCATCATTGGCCCACCCTGCTGTGTGTCATTTCCAATAGACATGTTCCCGTTGGAATTAGGGAGCCCTCAACAGATCAACAGATTTGAACCATATTTGTGGTCATGTGCTGCAAATCCATCCTTCTACTAGTCATTCATAGATTTTAGATAATGTAAACATTCATGACAACAACCAGCCGCTGTGTTATAATTACAAGGGACACTGTATTGCAGATTACAATGCACTTTTCCTGATGTATTTAAATAACAGGTTAAGAATAAGTAGAGCAAAGGTTCCCTTTTTACATCTCTGCCATTGAGTTCAGCTTATTATTTTCATTGTGTGTTTTGTATGTGCTGTTCAGTGTGTTAAATGTAGTAGTATTATTGAATATTATTGGTGAAGAGTAAGTATAGTGTGTGTTCAGGGAGTATATATTTCGAGTTAATAAGTGGTAAATACAGTACATACAACACTTGCTCAAAATTATAGAGACTGTGCCGCCCACTTCTAAATAAACTGCAAGGGTATACATAGAGGAGAATAGCCTGGAGTACAGTGCATGCATTCAATAAAACTTTAGTCTTTACTGAATGATTTAAAAAAAATGATATAAAGATACACATTACACAAATAAAATATTGTACATAAGGGACTCTGCTATTTATACCCTGGTAATATATTTTGAGTTATCGTGGCAGTGATTACACCTTCATTTTGTTATTACTGTAACATTGAAGTTCTTTTTTTTAAATATAGAGATTTGTTGATTCACCACAAACGGGAGCTCCTAAGGGAGTGCATTGTTTTTAAGGAATTGCTTGACTGATAGATTTGCATTGTAAGGAAAAGCAGTAAAGAACAACACCATAGTGCAGTAGTGTAAAGAAGTAAAACAAAGCATGCATATGTAATGAGCAGATATGGCTGCCTACATGTACATATATAAGTACAAACTAAACATAGAAACAAGGGTTTTATAACATTAGCACATACACATAGTAATATAAGCTCTCTTTAACATGCTTATCTAAAACTATAATAAAATAATATACAGTCCCTGGATAACCAAAAAAAATCCCCATGAATAATATAAATGTATTTAGCTTCTGCATCTTTATCCACCCGTTTTATATATATAGTGGAACCATTTCTCTCTCCAGCGATTATTTTACCAATGTTCAATAAAAATGGCATAAAAGTAGCAGAACAAAACTACGGTAAAGATAGATGTCAGAAAAACAATGCATTTGCTGAGTGCTGATAAGAATACCTTGGAGACAGCTTGGATTCTTCAAGAAGCTTTTTAAATTCTTCTTTGGCAAGCATTAATTTACTCCTTTTCTCTTTAGATTCTTCCTTGATTCGAGTCTTTACAAACTGCTCAAAGACCTGAAAGTGAAGCAATGAAATAAATATCCATCTTGTTCTGTTCTGAATTCTTACATAGTCGCATAGTTATGTAGTTACATTGGTGGTGAGTTTGGAAAAAGACACAGGTCCATCAGGTTCAACCCATATAGTGTGTGTGTGTAATGCTTGGAATGTCAATTCTGAGTGGTTCCTGCACTTCAGACTTAGGGAGTTATTCACTAAAGAGCCGATCCAGCCATAGCTTCGGCTGATCCTTCAGCTCGCTTCGGCCGATCCTTCAGCTCGCTTCGGCCACCTCTGCCCTTCGGTTCAGTCGAGCTGAAGGGCCGCTGTATGGGCTATTCACAATAGAGCATGTATGGCTGACCGAAGGCAACCGATGTACGGCTGAATTTAGCCGATGTACACTCAGCTTGGTTATTCACTCGGCTGCCTTCGGCAGCTAAGTGAATAACCCCCTTAGTATTTAATGGAAAATGGTAATGATAATACATCTTTAAACTGATGTTTTTGAAATGTTTTTTATTCATAACTGTTGGAACAGACTATTCACATCAGCTGTTGGAACCTGAAACAGAAGACATTTTATATTTTGCCCATTCCATCCCAGTTGATTACTCCACTGCACTTTTGAGTCATAATGGCAAGGACCCTTAGAACCCTTAAAATTCACTGGCTTGTCTTTTGGGATTTTTATGATTTTCTGTTCAACTGTTGTTCCTCTTTCGTACAACTGTTCTCCTCTTTTTGGTGATACTGGAAGGTAGGGTCATAATCTGGAACCTTTATTGCACATAACATGGCACACAACTGGTAGCAACATAACATGTGACTGATTGTGTGCCACCCAGGTAGCCCTGCCACCCTATGCCAGAACCTGTGTTGGCTATGCAGTATTCTAGCCTTGGTGATGATATATACTGTATATGGGATAGTGTTGCACCTCATACTTTTAAAGATTGGCATATAAGATATATAGATTATGACACCTGATTACAGTGCTCCTCAGATGCCTGTGTATGGGTGCAAGGGCTGAGTTTTGTAAGATGTGAAATCTATAAGACGTCTTCACTCCACCCTAGCGCTGGTCACTAGTCCCTCAATGCTGATGGCCTGCAACTTTTTTTAAAATTATGAAGGAACCTTCAACATCCTTTATCCAGTAGGTATGAAACTTTTTTATTCTGGATAATTTCTGCCCCTTTATGACTACAGTTACTAGAGCCTAGGCAATGAAGGGTCTGCTTGAATACATCAGAAAGACAGATATGATGGGGAGCAGAGAGGTTTATACCTACTGGAGGAGACATACAATGGCAACACCCATAATTCTGTCACAACCGGCTCCCTTTAACGATGTGTATTATCTCGAACCTTTGTTAGCAAATTGTTGATATTCTTTTAAAAACTGTTTAAAACAAGGGAAGCCAAACTTTGGCTGTTCAGCTGTTGTGGAGCTACAAGTCCCAAAAGGCAGTGCATGACTCTGACAGACACATGCATAACTTCCAGAGTCAGATGCATTATGGGACTTGTAGTTTCACCAGGTTTACCACAGCCAGAGGGCCAAAGTTTGGTGAACCCTAGTTTAAATAATACATCGAACCAATATCCCTATACCACATATGCTCTTTATATGTAAACTTATATATATATACTCCTATATAAAGACTCCTTCTCACTCTGATGGTAACACACTTGATCTTGTTTTCTCCCACCTATGCACTCCATGCAACTTCTCCAACACCCCTTTCCCGCTCTCAGACCACAACCTGGTCAGTTTCACAATCACCCTGTCCCCAACGCGGACTCCTGTTAGGCCTATGAGAACACACCTGTTTCCGTTCCTCAGAGTTTAGTAAGAGATACCGAGGATCAAACACGATTTTATGCAGCTCTTTTTCCCATGTGGAGAATGCAGACACCTGTGGAATATTGACAACAGTTAGAATGCTTATAACCACCCAATACTTGTAATGAGAATGTACAAATTTTATGCTATTATGTTTCAACACTTTCATGATTTTGAAAACTATCTAATTAAAACATCCCTTGCTGGGATCCCTTTGAGTTTCTTATATGTCTTTGTTACAGAAACATATAAATATTTCAGTACAGAGAAATAAGACTGCATTCTGAAGCTTTTTCAAAATGCTTCTCTTTACAGCAAAATTGTTTACATATTTTGTCAACTTAAAGAGATCATCCATTTTTAATGAGATGGTGTGGGAGGTCACTTCCTCCTGGGAGCCATGCGGTTTAGGGTTCTCAGGGCCTCAGACCTAGTCCTTGCTTAAAGAAGAACTGTACCCATCTCTTTAAAATAACAACAAAGACACCTTTAGAAATGTTTAGTAATGACAATCTACAACCAGATACGTCTAGATAATTTTTTATTCGTTGCATACCTTATTTCTCTTTTCTTCCCCAATCTTCTGACCGTGGCCATTTTAACTAAGGGCAGGCTACTAGATCTTCCTTTACTTCCTGGAACTCTGGCACATGTAACCATGCACATCATCTCAGGGGAGGAAAATGCCTTTCTCTGAGATCTCGTGAGATTTCAGATGAGATTTTCCCAGAAATTTTTATCCCAGGTTGCAATGCTTTGGCACTTACATCATTTGTGTAGAAGCTGGAACCAGGTAAGATGCAGGTACTTACACTACTTGCCTTAAAAACATACATTTTATGAAGTGTTAAAATGTATCTCTAGGCAATACCCATTTTTGATAGTTTTGGGTGGCATGGGAAAGGGGAAAATGCTCCGTCATTTTTTTTATTGCGGTCTGCATCTCCTTTGTGGAGGTTCACTCCTCTGTTGTGATTACTTTTGTCACTAAACAGAAAATGTGTGGAAAATCATAATTTTAAAGTTGTCCCCTGAGCAAAAAGGAATGGGGAATCTTCCAACGGGGGTAACTGCTGCCTAAGAGGGGAATTGCTTTCACTTTGGGAAATTTCTTTTAACTTCCTGTTGTATATCTGTGACAGGAAGTGAAGGAAACTTCCCCAAGGGTACACAGACAGCAAAAAAAATTAACAGACAGGGGTTTTTACCCTTCCCGTCTCTATCAATAAAAGACGCTTTGGCTATACATACACTTTAATGATTACAGAGCTGAAATTCATTTGTGTCTTTTATATCTGCCAAGAGTTCAGATTCAAATCTGAAATTCAGGACTTAATATTTCATTGGGATGACATTTCTCATAGTGGCCAAACAATTAGGTCTCTCTTTGGCTCTCGTACCCCTCTTTCTAGAAGCATGTTCCTGAAGCATGTCATCCTTTCATCTAAAGACTGGACTGCTTTAGGTGATGGAGGCTGCTTACTTCTCTCCTCAATGCTGACTTGTTCAGTCGTGTTAGAATCTTCAGTCCTTTCACAGAAAAAAAAAAAGAAGGGAATGTTAAACTGATTTCTGTTACCAAGCTTTTGCTATAATAAATATTATGTAGTACAGGGACAAAACAGTATAAACCTGAAATTCTGGAAAACAGCTTAAAGAGACCATTCATTTCAACAAAAATCTTCCCATAAGATTATATGTGTATTTAACATGTTTTATGGATGTTATTCACCTGTAAAAGCCTCCCTTGTGTAGATCTCCAAAAGCTGCTGAGTGCCACCATCTTTGATGTAATTTCAGCAACCCAGAAGATTGAGAGTTCTATAAAATACCTCTTGGCTCTTCCCTCAGATGCTGCATAGAAGGTTATTTAGGTGGGTGAAGGGAGGGATATAGGAGCTGGGCCATCAAAGATGGTAATTGGACACTCCCAGATAAGAAGAGTGCTATGACATGTAGAGCATCTGCTATGCTAGGGAATTGACTCTTCCTGGAGTAGTCAAATTTGCTAGTGATGGATAGATAGAAGGATATGGCAATAGATGGATAGAGCAAAAGATGGCTAGAGCGACAGATGGATAGACCAACAGCTGGATAGAGCGATAGATGGATAGAGCGACAGATGGATAGAGCAATAGATGGATAGAGCAATAGATGGATAGAGCAATAGATGGATAGAGCAATAGATGGATAGAGCAATAGATGGATAAAGCTATAGATGGATATGCACATCATCGGATAGAGCGATAGATGGATAGAGCAAGAGATGGATAGAGCGAGAGATGGATAGAGCGATAGATGGATAGAGCAAGAGATGGATAGAGCGAGAGATGGATAGAGCGATAGATGGATAGAGCGATAGATGGACAGAGCGATAGATGGATAGAGCGATAGATGGATAGAGCGATAAATGGATAGAGCGAAAAATGGATAGAGCGATAGATGGATAGAGCGATAGATGGATAGAGCAATGAGATGGATAGATGAATAGAGAGATAGATGAATACAGAGATAGATGAATAGAGAGATAGATGGATAGAGCGATAGATGGATAGAGCGATAGATGGATAGAGTGATAGAGAGATAGATACACACCCCCATTTATGGGTGCCGCCATCTTGGTGTATACCAAGATATACTCCAAAATAGCGGCGCACATGTGCAGAACACGCTGGCAGCCACTCGTTCTGCGAATAACGTCACCAATGACGTGGCATCATGTGACATTATGCACCTCGCCTCCAAGATGGCGGCAGGCATGAGCAGAACACGCCGGCGGCCAATATGGCCGCCGTGCTTTCTGATAACAAATTTTTATATGCCCAAATATCATTTAATATGTTTGAGCATATAAAAAATGTGTTATTTCGGATTCAGACGAAATGCCGAATCAACTGAATTTTGTTGATTTGCAGATAGATAGATAGAGTATTATGCCATATGAATGAGTGATGGCACACACTTATCTGGCTGATTCAAGCCATGTTACCAGCAAATTCCATCCAGGCAATGCAAAACATACAAATAATGCTCTTTGCGTTTCCATGGTACACATTTTAGCAAACTGGCTCTGGCTTGTGAAAGGATCGGTATAAAATGCCGGGTCTTACAATGTGTGCAATTAAACTATTATGCACTTGAGGACTGATATGGCTTTATAAATGTTTTACTCCAGCAATAAAAAGAGCGGCACATAGATAGGAGTAAATTATTCACTGGTTTAAAAGAAGAAGCGCAGAGTGAAAAATCCGCCATATACGGGAATGGACCCGCAGAGGGCCCATAACACACAGGTTTAAATTATATACTTACTTGAGCACAGCTGGAAATGTCAAAATGACAAATGTTCTGCTTGTCATTCATAGGCTGCCAGAGAGCCGAGGATTACCGTATGCCGAGGAGCACTTGACTCACTATTTAAAAGCTCTGGCTACAGCACAGTGTTGTAGCTTTACCAGATCGGCCCGGATCAAATCTTTGCCTACTTAATTTAAAGCACAGCTCCAGGCAAGTGTATAAAAAAACCTTTTAGGTTATGTATTTATTCCTTCTAAAGTGTTAAAATGACTTTTCTGTTCATTTAAAGTAAGCACCCCAAACGTGTCTTTATAATAGGCGGTCATAGACCAACTCAAACATGACATTGGGCTTGTAGTAGGAGTGTTGGCTGGGTAAGCCGTGGCCGGGAGGGTTTATTTAGGGAGAAGATTAGCAAGCTTTTATAAATATGGTAATATTAAAGTGACACTAAACTTAGGAGTTAAATCTTAAAATTGCATTTAGGTACCCTAACTATTAATAAAAATATAGCTTATTCGTGAATCGCTTAGCTGTAGATTCTCAAATCATCTCTGAATTGGTGCTGACACTGTCCTTCCTTCTGGAGGGTGGCTACTTTTGTTCCCCATGGTCCCTGCGTGTGTTGTAGAGAAGCTACTGCTCCAAGCTTCCTCCTGTGATGAACTACAATCTTAGACTTAGTTTACTAAATTGTATTGAGATGTACCATGAGTACCGTGGGGTCAGTCATGGGAGTGAGCTTGGAGCCGTGGCTACTTTACAACACACAGGGACCATGGGGAACAAACGTAGCCACCCTCCAGAAGGAAGGACAGCGTGGGCACCAATTCAGAGATGATTTGAGGATCTACAGCCAAATGATACACAAATAAGATACATTTTTGTTAATAAGTTAGGGTACTTGAAAGCATTTTTAAGATTTAACTCCTGAGTTTAGTGACACTTTAACTATAAGAAAAATTGAGAAACTGAGAATGTTCAACTTTTTCATGGGATACATTGGAGTGAAAGGGAGGGCTACATTAAAGTGGTTTTGGTTTGTTTTTAAGGGAGAAATTAACAAAAAAGGCTCCTCAGAAAAACTCACTTTAAACTATCATAGACCTGCTCTTGTGCCAACAAAAAGACCTCTTATTAGCTGGAAGATATAACATTAGGTATTGAGGAACAGCGGAACCCTAATACATAAGTATACTACTGATACCAACACTAAGCCTAATACTAGGGATGCACTGATACTGGTTCTTCAGAATCAAGTACGAGTACGGATATTTTTTTTTCTGTACTTGCCAATACCAAATACCAATACTGTAGGTCCCATTAAGGAAGCCAGGCGGTGTGCAATGACTCGCTGCCCTGCGAGGAAGCATCAAACTGGCTTTCTGGCCAATCAGGAAGCTGGGGGGGGTAATCGCTCGCCACCCGGCTTCATGGTTGGCCAGCCACCTAACTTTCTGATACCGGAAGTTCTGGTATCAGGATAAGCATCACCAGAGCTCTTGTGTTAATGGACGGAGGGAATATTGTCTGCAAATGTAGATCAGTCTAGGTAGGTAAATATATATATATTCATCTTCAAGGTATAAATTAATCCCTAAAATATTTGAAAAGTGGCTACTTGGGTAGATCAGTAGCAGCCAGCTCATTTACTACATAAATGAGTAAAGGAGCTGGGTTGTCCTTGTCGTAAGCTACACCCCCACTTCCACCCTCCATCCCCTGATTTATGGTATTAGCTATGTGGTTCAAGATTCACTTGCAGGGTATAAGTAGAAATATGTAAATAAAATAATATGACAGTTCCTTGACTAGATCAGTAGCAGGCAGCTCCTTTACTACATGGATGAGTAAAGGAGCTGTGTTGTCCCTGTAGTAATCCATACCCCCAATGACACCCAAGATTCACCTGCAGGCTATAAATAGATTCCTAAAATATTATTAAAATAATATGACAGAGTCTAGGCTACATCAGTGACAGGCAGGACCTTTACTACATTGATGAGTTAAGGAACTGTTCTGTCCATGTAGTAAGCCACACCCCCACTGCCACCCCTCCACCTCCTGTTATATGGAATTAGCTTTGTGGTCCAGTGCATGTGTGTTCTACCCTTGAGAGAGGGCATTATTATTTCTATAACAGGAGGTTACCCATCATGGCTGTTGTATGGCATAAAATAAATATGTGAGTGGCAGTTCTATAAAGACGAACAAGTACCTCTGCACAGCCCGTGTTTATAGGATAAGTGTGATTTTATGCGGTTTAGATCAGTGAGCTCTCTAAACCAGTTTTACTATGCCGGGCAATGTGCAGCTTTAACTGCTGGTGAAGGTTTGTGAAGTGGAAAGGCTCGGCTCTCTTTTTTTACGTAATCCATAAAATGTGGTATAAAGAGGTTTAGTGGGCTCTCGAGGTCCGGAGCTGGCTCCCCATTCGCTTTTCCAGAATAGCAATGAGGAATCACGCCAGCTTTGCTCTCCATATATTATTCATAGATGTGCAGCCATGAAAGAATGATACAGTCTATGATATACCGAGCCGAGGTGCAGGAAACAAGCATTGTTCAACCATGGAGCCATTTATCAAATACCGCCATCACCAGAGCTCCTTACACTGAAATTTATGTCCATAAAAATTGGCAAATCAATCATCCTATTTCTTTCGTCATTATTTACAATTGCTGATAGACAAGGAATTCCCCAGGAAATACGAAGAAGCTAACTGAATTCTGACGTACGGTACAAAAGCACAAGAGGTTTAATTTTCTTAATCTTGTATGGTCCAGATTTGCAAAATTAAAGAGACCCTGTCGCCAGACCATTTATTTTAGAAAAAATCTTCCCATAATATGTGCATGTAACACATTGTATGCATGTTTTTTACATGTAAAGCCTCCTTGTGTAGACATCCAAAAGACCTGAGAATTCTGCCGAGCACCACTAAATGTGATGTCACCAGCCCCAGCAGCCGCAAGTGACACTCTATAGTATTCCCCTTTATCTTCATCTCTGGCAGTCCATTAGATGTGAAGATGCAAAGGGACATGCAATACCACAGTTGGTGCGAGAAAGGTGAGCAGACACTGGCGCAGGGTCGAGGGTCAGGTGAGTATTTCATCTTTATTTTTGCCCCTAGACCAGGGGTAACCAAACACTGGCCCTCCAGCTATGGTGAAACTACAAATCCCATGATGCATCTCTCTCCGGGAGCCATGTCTGTGGCTGCGAGAATC